CAAGTTACTTGACTCTGTGCTTCAATGTCCTCATCTCTGAAACACAATCTACTTCCTAGGGTGTGGTAGACTGAACACTGGCTTCTCCCCAGTGCTATTCACATCCTAATCCTTGGAATCTGTAAATATGTCACTTTATGTGGCAAAGGGAACTTTGAGATGTGATTGAGTTAAGGACCTTGAGATCAGGAGATTATGGTAGATCATCTTTGTGGGTATAATGTCATCACAAGGATCTCTATAAGAAGCAGCCAGGAGAGGAAATGTGACAATGGAAACAGAGAGGCATAGAGAGGGGTTAAAAGAAATGTTATACTGCTGGCTTTGAAATGGGATGACAGGGCCACGAACCAAGGAATGCAAGCAGACTCTTGAAGCTAGAAAAGACAAGGGCATAGATTCTGCCCTGCAGCTTCTAGAAGGAATATAACTTTACCAATCTGTTTTAGGATTTCTGACCTCCAGAACTAGAATAAATTTGTGCAGTTTTAATGCACTAGATTTGTGATGACTTGTTACAAAAACAATGTGAAAATAATAAATAAAATAAAAACAGTTATCATTAGGATTAAATGATCTCATACAAGTACAAAGAATAGTTCCATACAGCAAAGTAATTTTAGCTATTATATGAGAAAAGACCAGAAATGAGGGGATATTCATAGTAGTACTCCAGATTAAGAAAATGAATTTCAAACTAAGCATGGTAGTGCACAACTATAATCCAGCTACTTGGGAAGCTGAAGCAGGAGAATGACAAGTTCAAGGCCAGCTTTGGAAACTTAGCAAGACCCTTTCTCAAAATTAAAAAAGAGTTTTGGGATGTAGCTTAGTAGTAGAGCACCCCTCATTTCAATCACCAGGACTGAGGGGCAGGGAGGTTCATAAACTCGGAAATATCTAATATTTAAATTTCACATATCATTCAACAAAAGATTCTATTTCTAAATACAAATACAGGATATTCATCACATCCTTATTTGTAATAAATCAAATATCCAGTAATACACAGATTCAGTCCCAAGTTTTCAATTCTATTTATTTACTTATTTTTATGTGGAACTGAGGATCAAACCCAGGGCCTCACACATGCCAGGCAAGCGCTCCAACACTAAGCCACAACCCCAGCCCCCAAGTTTTCAATTCTATATAGGATGATGGGACATAACGGGTTAATAGACTATATTACAGAAAGGCAATTCAAATAAATACTAGGCATCCTTTAAATAATGAGACAGACCTCAAAGTTCTGGTATGAAAAGTCCCACAAGATATCCTTTAATGGAAAAAAGGCAAGAACAGCCAAGCATAGTAACACACGCCTATAATCCCAGCTATCCATGAAGCTGAGGCAGGAGTTCAAGGCCAGCCTGGGCAATTTAGTGAGAACCAGTCTCAAATAAATAAATAAATAGGGTTGGGATGTAGTCCAGGGTAGAACACCCCTGGGTTCCATCTCCAGCATCAGAGCACGCAAGTGCAAGGTGGGGGTATTGGGGAGTACAGAACAGCACACACATTAAGTTGCATTTTTGCTTAAAAAGGAAAAATAAATATATTTATAATTATACATGAAAAAAATCTATATGGGCATGCAGTTAACAATTAACAGTGATTGCTCTTTTTTAAAAAACAAGTGTACAAAGTAGGAAGGCAATCTTTTCATTATATGTTCTGTTATATTATTTTGGTCTTTTACTAGTTATATGTGTGGTACCCATTTTGAAAAACTTCAGTTGAGATATGACATCACACACTAATCAAGAATTTATGCTCTGATGATGTGCTTACCATTGTAACACTGTACAGAGAAAAAAAAAATTCTCTTATTCTCCAGGAATTTATTATCTGGACTTGTATCAAACAATGACCTTTCTCATTGTGTTGGACAGTCACCTATCAGAAAACTGAACCAGATATTTTCTCCTTAAGATTTTTCTACTTAGGATTCTGGAAAATGAATATTCACCTAAAATGAACAAATTCTGTGTCTAATCCATTAGTTCCAACCAGTATTGCTTGCAATTAATAAATTATTATTTCCTGGGAACTGGTCAATATTTATGGAGAGAGAAAAAGCAAAAGTCTTTTTACCAACAGACTCATTATATACATGACACAATAACACACACACACACACACACACACACAAACACACAAAGATAAAGGACAAATTCATCTCCAGATAGTTGGATTCCTCTTTACATTTCTTTTCACTTTCCTAATCCTCTAAGGAACATAAATCACTGTTAAAAAATAATAATACACATCTTTCTTTCTCAAAAACACATTCTTTTTAAAAAGTGCCAACCCAATATTCATGAAGATTACTGGCTCACCTCAAATCTTCCTCTCCCTTTAGGAAAGTGCCAACAATACAAACTGTGACTTTCCAAAGACGGACATTAAAGAGAATTGATAGCAACACCAATAAGAATTATCCAAATCCAAGTGCTCCATTTATAAAATATTTAGTCCACAATGTCGCTCAATTAGAGCATAATCCATAATTATTGCTGACAAGGGAGGCTGAATGGGATCTGGGTCACTCTTCCATAACTCTATTAGTTCTTCTCAAACCAATAAAGAAAAGTCTGTGTTAGCAAAGTGTTTAGCTGACAATGAAAGTACAGGCTTCCTCAGCTTATCCAAGAAGGAAAAAAGTAGAGATGAAATATATTTAGTGGGTAAGTGGTAAATGGTAACTTACACATGTAATCCTCCCATCCGAAGACTGGAGTAGTCATCATCATCATACAAGTATTGAGTCAATGGACCACAAGTCCATTGTATCCCCAAGGATACTGACAATAAACTGGTATTGGACACTGTGTGCCAGACCCCGTAATAAGTCCTTTCCATTCCTAATCTCTTGGAATCCTCTCAGTAATCCTATAAAAGTTGACATGAAACTACTGAGTTGCTGAACTTAAATAACTTGCCCATGGTTATACAGCCAGTGAATGGTAAACTAGTATGTGAATTCAAGCAGTCTTCCCTTGAAAGCCCACTTGAATGTGTAGACATCACCTTACCTCTTCCCTGGTCAGACATTACCATCTCCTAGCTTCACCCATGGCGTGTTACCCTTCCCCCCAACTAAAATCAAATATCCTCTAGTTATTCTAGATGCCCACGCTGGCTTCAGAAGTTACTATGATTAAAATGTCCCCTCCAAAATTTAAGTTGAAAGTTAATTTCCAGATTCATATGTCCATGGTATTTAGAAGTGGAGCCTTTGGGAAGTAACTGGGGTAAGACAAAGTCATCAAGCTAAGGTCCTCTAATGGGCCCTGAGCAGTAGCATGCTTGCTCTGTCTCATCCTGTAATGCCCTCTGCCATGTTATGATGCAGCAAGAAGGCCTCACCTGATGCCAGTGTCATGGCTCTTGAACTTCCCAGCCTCAGAACTGTGAGCTAAAAGAATCTTTAATCGGGGGCTGGGGGTGTGGCTCAGTGGTAGATCACTTGCCTAGCATGTGTGAGGCCCTGGGTTCAATCCTCAGCACCACATATAAATAAATAAAATAAAGGTCCATTGACAAAAAATATTTTTTTTAAAAAAAGAATCTTTAATATTTATAAATTACTCGGACTTGATATTTTGCCACAGTAAGAGAGAAGTCTCTACATGAAAACAAAAAGAGGCTATGTGGAGAGAATACTGTCCTTATAAAAGATACTTTTCTCTTTCTGGGAGCTTAGGAGCTTGGCGGAATAGTGCTGGAGAATCAAGCCCAGGGCCTTGTGCATGCTAGGTAAAGACTCCCACTGAGCTACATCCCTAGTCCTAAAAGGTACTTTTTGAAGCTCTCTCTCTTTACATCAACACAGTAAGTTCATACCTAATTACTTAATGCTACCATGGACCCGGTTAGTATTTCTTTCCCTGGATATGCACAGTCCTTTATCACAGACATTTACACACAACTTGCCGAGTATTCTCTTTCAGAAAGCTGTTTTAAAACAGTTCTAAGAACATATCTGCTCCAAGGCCATGTGAATCCCACCATGCCCAAGTGGGATTATAATAATAATTATATTATTATAATAATACTAACAGCTGGCATATACTGAGCATTTAGAATGCAACACACTTTAGAGTCTCATTTCATCCTCACAGAAGCCCAATGACTAGGCACTATTCCCATTTTATAGATGAAGAAACTAAGTAACTCAAACAAGTAACTTATCCCCAGCTCATGATGTTGGTAACTAAATCTGACTCTAAGCCCTCAGAGGTGTTGGCTTTTAATGATTAAAACGTAAGCTCCTGTTGGGCTTGGTAGGCTAAGGTAGGTAGATCTCAAATTCAAGGACGTCCTCAGCATTTCAGGAAAAACTCAGCAAGAGGGCTGAGGTTGTGGCTCAGTGGTAGAGTGCTTGCCTAGCATGCACAAGGCACTGGGTTGGATCCTCAGCATCACATAAATGTAAAATAAAGATATTGTGTCCACCTAAAACTTAAGAATAAACATTAAAAAAAAAAAAAACTCAGCAAGACCGTGTCTCAGAATAAAAAACAAGCCAGACACAGTGGCACACACCTGCAATCCCAGTGCCTCAGGAGGCTAAGATAGGAGGATCACTAGTTCAAAGCCAGCCTCAGCAATGGCAAGGCACTAAGCAAATCAATGAGACCTTGTCTCTAAATAAAATACAAAATAGATACAAAATAGGGTTGTGGGGTGCTAGGATTGTGGCTCAGCGGTAGCGCGCTCGCCTAGCTCAGTGCCACGTAAAAATAAATAAATAAAATGAAGGTATTGTGTCCAACTAAAAAAAAAAATAGGGCTGGAGATGTGGCTCAGTGCCCCTGAGTTCAATCCCCAATACAAAAAAAAAAATTAAAATAAATAAGTAAATAACAAAAAGAACCGTGGGTATAGTTCAATGGTAAAACACCTCTTGGGTGAATCCCCAGTAACAACAACAAAAAAGAGAGCTACCTTCTATCTGCTCCAAGGCCATGTGAATCCCACCATGCACAAGTGCTTACCTGAATCTCTTCATTTTCATCTACTAGGAGGAAACTCACAACCTTCTCAGTCATCTTCTTCCTCTTGGTCTCCTCATCCATCTCTTCCCCCTCCAGGGACTCCAGGACCTTACTAACATGGTACACAGTAATAGGGTGTCTCCTCCTGTTACCCCCAGAATGAGTCCTCTTCTGGCACTCCAGACACAAGTTGATTTTACAGGTCTGGCACCTCACGGCTGCCCTCTGCCTAACACCTGGAGAATGCCCACTGGGGCCTTTGCAGGGGTCACAGTAAGGGACATGGCCAGCTTTGAGTCTTATCCGCTCATGGTTTCGAAGGCGTTCCTGCCGATGGAGCTCCTCCTCACAGCGGAGACACTGCAAACTGCAGCACTCGTCACACTCAAAGACAGCTTCATCAGTCCCGCTACAAGCATAACTTTCCTGGCACATCAGCCCAGGATTCAGGCCTTTCTCTGCTGGGGAAGTCTGGGCACTCATAACTCAGACTGGTAAGGAAGCACACCCACCATATAATAGTCACTGAGCTTTTCCAAGAAGCAAAACAAAGACTTTGAGTCTGAAGACCACACAAAATTTCCACAGGGTTCTAAACACCTCACTTAAAAAAAGAAAACCTGTCCTATTATAATTCTTTACACACTTGCAAATGGTTGATTTTTTTTAAATTTTCTGCCCCCAAGATTCTTGTAACAGCAGCAACATTGATTTGGTTTGAAGATTTCATCCTTCATAAAGTGCAGGCAAAGATGCAGTCAAATGAATTTGACAGAGTCTTTGATGGCAATCAGAGTTGTGATGGGTTCACACACATGGGCTCATCTCTTGTGCCTCAGCCACAAAGTTTTTGTAATGAAATTAAGTGGTCAGAAGCTTTTCAATATAATTCAACCTCAAGTCGATATTTCAGGAGATGCCTACAATAGAGGAAGAAAAAGGATTACACTCATCTAAAAAACAGAAGTGCACCTTAAACAAACAAACAAAAAGACTCTGATTAAATACTAAACAAAAATTACGGACAGAACTCTCATTCTTGCTGGTAAAACTTATACTGGTTTTTTCTGATACTAGAATTTCTTCCCAAAATCATAGGTAAGGCTCCTCCTTTTAAAAACAAACATCAATTCTAGGCTCAGGGCATTTAAAGACTTTGCTGTTCTATTCCCCAGACTGATACACTCTGTTCATTTAATTATTACAATTAGAATCAAAATCACTAAGCAAACTGTCCTCTGCACCCCCATCTGCACCTCACAGTTAGGAGGTGGGGAAAGAGATCTGTAAAAAAAAAACTAAAGAAAAAAATAAAATTTAGACCCATCAAAGTTCTGGGCAGATCTGGTTATCCTTGTAACTGTACTGTTTCAACTCTATAGACAGATGCTTAGAAATAACAATCACTATTTCAAGTTCAAAAACAATAACAATCATTGAACTTCCTTTTGTCCCTTCTTTCTGAAACTGGGGGGAAAAAAAAAGAAAAGAAAAGAAAGAGGGAGCAACAGGAAGTAGGATTCCTGCACTATGGCCCCCGGCAAAGACAGGCCAATAGTGAGTCAAAACAATTTTTTCTCGTGGTCATTCAAAAACTAACTTAAAAATAACTTCAAAAAAAAAGGTAACAGGGGCAGGAAAGAGGCTTTAGTAACTTCTACAATTACATTCCGAATCCCCCCTAGCCCTAACCCCCATTCCAAAGCCCCAACCAAGAGTGAAGTCTTCCTTACAGATATTCACTCCTCTCCCATGGTAATCAATCTATCAATCTTATTTTTAGATAAACAAGGAAGGCGAAGGGAGTGACTAGGGGACATTATTTACACCCTAACCTCTAGTCCTGCCCAGGCTGCTCCCAAAACGGAAACGAAAATCAAAACTTGTCACAAATGTAAAAAGCATAAAATCATCCTTCAAAGAACACCTCATCCCCGCCAGGCCAAGCAAATAATCTGCCCATTCGGGCCCCCACCTCGACGCCTCTCCCCAACCCGGGATTCCTCACCCTTCCTTCCTCCCGGACAACACTACCACAACCCGAGGGGTAGGAGCCGAGCCGAAGAACAAAGAAGGCCCCCAAAATCCCCCCCCACGCCGGCACAGCCCGGAGCCGAATCCATTGTTTATGCCACCCCACCCCCACTCGAGCCGCACCCGGCCCCCCTTCCTCCCGGGGGCAGCCGGAGCCCCAGGACGACCGCTTGCCCGGTGCAGGGCCGTGCCCTCCCCGCCCTGCCAGCGGTGGCCCGGGGATCCCACCACGGAGAAGCTCGGCCTCGGCGAGGCGGTGTCTGGGGGCCGTGGGACGCCGGTGGGGGTGGCGGCTGTTCCTCAGGGCACCGGTGGATCCATCCTCATCACCATCTCCACCCCCCCTCCTCCTAGGTTGCCTCCCGGGCTTCCTCCTCTCCTGTTGTCAGTTGGAATCAGCTGATCGGAGTGAACTTCTCCCAGCCCAGACTAACAGGAAGGCGTGAGCCTTGAAGCCCCGGAGGGAGGAGCGGCGGGGGGCGGAGCCCGACGCCGGTAGTGGGGGCAGGAGGGCACGCACCGCCTCCTAGGAGTTGTAGTTCTCAGGATACATCCTCTGTCCCCATATCCCGGAAGTGCAGATTCCAGGTGACTACAACTCCCAGATAAAAGCGCGGCTCTTACAAGCGGGCGGTGAAGGCAGGCCATCGAGCATTTCGGGACTTGGAGTCGTTGTATTGACAGTGGTTTCCGCAGGTTTCAGAGTTGTTTAGGGTACCGGCTTGGGGAGGAATGGCGCCAAATTAGACAACTGGTGTGATAATGTTTAGTGTAAACGGGAAATACCGAAGGAAATAATGTAGTTTCAAATAACCCTTAATTGCGAATCATTCCTTCAGACATGTGTAAAAACAAGCGGTCTCCACTTAGTCAATTTCATCCAGCACAAACTGGAAAAAACAGGAAGAATTAAGATAATTTCAAGTAGTCTTGAGGGAGTTTTGTTTTCCCGACAATGGTGGTCACCAAACACATCATTAATTTTTTCTCCTCCCTGCTCTTTTTCTGACCTTTCCCTATATAACTTCAGAACTTATACATTTTAAGTTATCTTTAAATTAGGGTTTGCTTTAAATTAAACTTTTTCTACTAATTGCTGTCACTATTAGCTGGCTTTTTCTGTTTGTTTTTTAAACTCCGAGGCACTCAACCACTGAGCCGCATCTCCAGCCCTATTTTGTAATGTATTTAGAGTCAAGGTCTCACTGAGTTGCTTAGTTGCCTTGCTTTTGCTGAGGCTGGCTGTGATCCTCCTACCTCAGCCCACGCCAGCCTAGCTGGCTTTTTAAAAATGGTCTTATATTTGTCTCATGCATTCCCTTTTCTTTTCCATTTTTTTTCCCATTTATTTTGTGAAACAACACTGAAAGAAAGCCTGATATGATGAAAAGAGCACTGGTCTGTGATGTCTAAGATTCGGTGCTTGCTCTAGAAAAGTTCCCTGACTACATAGGTGGCTTTAAAAAAAAAAAAAAGGAAGAAATATATACATATGGATATGACTAGGGGTAAGACAGTCTCTCCAAATAATAAAGGAATTGCTTTGATAATCGTTAACCCAGGAGAGAAAACCAAGATTAACTGACTTGTCAAGGTCAAACAGCAGGTTATTGACAAAGCTGTGATAAGACTTCATATCTTGATTTCAAGTAGAATCCTTTTTTACCTTGTGATTCATGGGAAATAATAAATAGGAAAAAAATCAATCTACATAATAATAAATGAGCCATATATGAGGATTATTTGGCTGAAAATTATGTCTCCAAAACTGGGTAATGTACTAACCATGCAACATGACTGACTTTTTTTTTTTTCCTATGTCAGATCACAAATCAGAATATTAAGAACTAAGCTATCATAGTAGAGGATAGGAAAGATAGCAGAATACAACAGTCACTAGTATGGCAATATGTAAAAACGTGGATGTGTAACCGATGTGATTCTGCAATCTGTATACGGGGTAAAAATGGGAGTTCATAACCCACTTGAATCAAATGTATGAAATATGATATGTCAAGAGCTTTGTAATGTTTTGAACAACCAAAAAAAAAAAAATAAAAAGTAAAGAAAAAAAAAAGAACTAAGCTATCTGTGGCACTTTAAAATTTAAATGTTAATTGAACATAAGGGGATGTCGGGAGAAGAAAAGGGGTGAATCCCAGTAAAGAAGTCAAAATAAAAAAGAAACTAGGGGCTGGGGATGTGGCTCAAGCGTTAGCGCGCTCACCTGGCATGCATGCGGCCCAGGTTCGATCCTCAGCGCCACATACAAACAAACGTGTTGTGTCTGCCGAGAACTGAAAAATAAATATTGAAAAATTCTCTCTCTCTCTCTTTAAACAAAACCAAAAAAAAAAAAAAAAGAAAAGAAACTAGGCTGAGACTAGCCAGTAGAACATATAATTTCCTTAGAAATTTTTATTCCTAGAACTACCAATATAATTTTCTTTAGCCTAAATAGATTGCTTCATATCCTTACTCAATGAGGAGGTTGCTATATTCTAGGAATAAAATGATATCTAATAAATCCCTTTAAATTCTTTTAAAGTTTTAATGGTTAGCCCTAAAAGAATCCCTAAAACTGAAAATGGTTACCTCCTAGGAGAGGAACTAAGAAGAAATTTTATTTAAACATACTTGTACTCTTGAATTTTTTCCTTTTCTTTTTCTCTTTATTTATTTTTGGGGGGCAGTTATGGTGCTGGAGGTTGAACTCAGGATTGTTGAATTTTTTACTATGTAAGTGCAATATGTCAATCATAATGAAAACATGAGTTTATTTCTTTTAGCAGATAATTGGAATCATCAGATCTATGTCTGTTGTTAGTTGTTTTTGCTCATTTGCAGACTTTGCATGCTTGTTTATTTTTTTTTTACTATGGGTTTCATTTTCCTTGGAAAAATTTTTGTGGGGATTCTTTTGAGGCCTAGCATAGAGGTTTATTCCTTCAGAGAGGATTTGCTTTTGCTTTTGCCAGGAGGAACCACTTTAAACTAATTCACTATTTGATATTTGTTTCACTCATTTATTTGTTTGTTTGGACCACAAGAGATTTATATCTGTGCTACCTACCCCTGGAAGTGATGGCTTATGGGTCCAGTGCCTCTCAAGTATACCACTACAACTTCTTCCCACCCCAAGATAAAACTCCCTGGTCTGTTTGGTAGGAGGCTGTTTACTTCCTGTTCACCCATATGGGTATTTGAGTTCTTCAATATAGATTTCCCAAAAATCCACCAGGTCCTGGACTTTTCTTCTGTCCCATGAGGCCTAAAAAAAAACAAGCTTAAGTTCACCAAGTAAGGCATATGTCCTCAGGGTAAAGTGACATCATTGTTCCACTTACTTTCCTGCTTTCACCTAGATTTTGCTCTGATAATTCATCTTGTTGACTCAATATTTTACCAAAACCTTTAAACTTGTTATCAGCAGGATAGTCAGTTTGACATATTATGGGGGGGGGGGTGCGGCAAGCAAGCTAATAATTCAATAGGGGAGCCCATCGGATCATATGGGAGGGTTTCTGTATGCTGGCAGTGTTCTACTCTTTACCTAGGTGGTGGTTGAACCAATCTTCAGTTGATAATCATTAAACAATTCATGTCTCTTGCATTCTTCTATTTATATGATGTAGCTCACAATTTAAAAATCAAATAAAGGGTTGGAATTGTAGCTCAGTGGCAGAGTGGTAGAGTGATTGCCTTGCATTCATGAAGCCCTGGTTCGATCCTCAGCACCACATAAAAATAAATAAATAAAAATAAAGACATTGTGTCCATCTACAACTAAAAGAGTATTTAAAAAAAATAAAATTAAAATCAAATTCAAATAAAAATATAAAAATGAAAAGGAAATGATAAAAGATATCACAAAACTAGGCTCTGCAAGACAAGCAAATGGACTTAATAAAATCATTTCCTTAAATCAATCAAGATTTTAAATATCCCAACAATATTTCACCACAACACGAGATACAAAACTAGTAGAAGACATTTTTCTCCATTTGTCCAATTAAACTTCCCATCTAGCTTCCCCCTTCAAGGGAGTCCTCAATATAAACATACAACACACCCATACCCACAATTGATTTATAGCTATTAAAATACTTACTCCTAATTTCATCAACTATATGCATATATACAGTATGGGGTAAGCACAGTCTCTTTCCCAAATGGTATTAAGAGATGTTATTTATTAGCTGGGTGCTGTTGTGCACACCTGTAATCCCAGTAACTCAGGAACCTGAGACAAGTCTAAAGACAGCCTCAGCAATTTAACAAGGCCCTAAGAAATTTAGTGAGACCCTCTCTCAAAAAAATTTTTTAAAAGGGGGTGGGGGTGGCTGGGGATGTGGTTCAGTGATAAAGCTCCCCTGGGTTCAATCCCTGGTACCAAAAAAAAACAAAAAGCAAAAAAATACCTTTAGCTTTCACCTTCAGGCCCAGAAATTTTGTTTTATCACCCACTAAAGTGAATTAATCTCTCCGTGGTGAACACATATTAATCAAGCTTACCAGCTAAGAATACCAATACAGTAGTTTGGGGTGATATATTACTGTAATCAGAGTAGAATTCTTAAAACTAGCACAAAGAGAACCATGATAATTTTTTTTTTTTTTTTTTTTTTTGCTTGGGCTGTGGTGGAGCATGCCTGTAATCCCAGCAAATTGAGAGGCTGAGGCAGGAGGAGCATAAGTTCAAAGCCAGCTTCAACAATTTATCCGAGGCCCTAAACAACTCAGTGAGAACCTATCTCTAAATAAAATATAAAAAGGGCTGGGAATATGGTAATGTGGCTCAGTAGTTAAGTACCTTTGGGTTCAATCCCTGGTATCAAGGACTGGGGTTATAGCTCAGTTGGTACACTGCTTGCCTTGCATGCACAAGGCCCTGGGTTCAATCCTCAGCACCACAAAAATAAAAATAAAAATAAAATAATCTTCAATACCTGGTATCAAAAAAAAAAAAAGTACCCTGTGAGAATAGAATCATAGCAAGAGTCAGAGCAACGAATAGTTATGGTAAAAGGCTAATGTGGCATTCTGTTATAGCAACAACAATAAAAAAATATTAAGACACTTTGGCAAAAAATTATCCTGGGTTATAAATCTAATCCTAAACCAGAGAACCTTTACCAGCTGTAGCTAAAGACTGATGAAATCTCAGAACAAAAGCCAGAGAGTTGCTAACTCTGAAGATGGAAAAAAGGAACCAAAAGTAAAGGAATGCTATGGCATCTATATCCAATTTCTGACCTATAAACTAGTTCTAAACTGTAAAATATTAAATTTGTATTGTATTAAGCCATAGATTTGCATAATTTGTCACAGCTGCAATGGAAAACTAATATAGAAATGCTGTGAATAATTTCTATATTGTCTCTGCATTCCCCCACACCGCCACCACACCCAAATCAAAATCCTGAGCAGGACAATCCAATTT